TTTGCAGTAGATCTGGTGGCTAGACTTCATTTCACTGCGGTGAACTTATTCTGACCTGTTTTGACCTTTTATTATTGTTATGCTTTTGTGTTTGAGTGTTTTGTGTGCTACTGGATGCCTACATTTCCCTCAGGATCAATAAAGTAAGTATCTATCTATTTATCCATCTCTCTGTCTATCTATACATCTGTATCTATCGGGAAGGTATAAAACATTGTTAGACAGTAAGAGTAATATAGAATAACACCTGTCCTGACCTTGAAAGGTCTCTCTGTGAGAGCTGTGCATCAAAACTAAGTTCATCTCTGTATTTACGCTTGGTCTCTGGTGTGTATAAATGAATCATATCACTGTAATCCTAGTAATTATATTGAATCTGTAAGTACAGTATGAAATTATAACAATTGCCTGTGTGGAGGATGTTATGTTTATGCCCCTGTCGTTACAAGATTACACAAAAAACACTGAATACATTTCCAGGAAACTTGGTGGAAGGATGGGACATGGGCCAAGGTATTTTTTATCCACTTCTTTAACATTGTTAGAGCCATTTTCACAGATATCACACAGAATAATTGATGGATCTTGATGAAAAAGAACAGGCGTGCTTAGGGGCTTGATCTCTATGTGAAATTTGCTGCAGCTTGATTCAAGGGGCTGCTGGGCCTGAGACATGAGCTGGAGTTAGGTTTAGGAAACTAAAAGATTACATGTAAGAGAGTGTTGGGGTTATTTTAAGGTAAAACCTCATCCTGTTGCACGTCAGGTGACCTGTACTGTCAAACCTTCTCAGGCGGTCAGAGGTATATTCCCTCACGTTCTTCACAGTTCACACTATTTTCACGTTGGGGCTCACAACATTTTGGGGCCGAGCTGAAACAAGGGAATACCGGCTGCATGCTGAGCTAATATATACTGCCAAGTAGTGTAAATCACAGGGGTAATCATTAAGAAGTAGTTCACTGTGTACGCTGTGATTATGCCCTGAACAAACCATGTGACGGGCGGATTAATGCGGTCCAGCACTGTTTTTAGATCAGGCGGGGGCGAGAGACACACACACACACACACACACATAGAGAAAGAGCAACCTGCAATCCAAGGCTTTGATCATCAGTGATGGAAAGTGTAATGATTTATTGCACCCACAAACCCTTTGAAGCCCCCCCCCCCGCTGAAGCCACAGGGCTGGTCAGTCCCTCGAGTTTCACTTATTTATTTATTCATCTCTCTGGATCCACACAAGATGATACTCATCATTCATCAGAGCTAGATCGACACATAGAAAAGGCTTTTAGCCGCCTCAGATAATGTAAGTGCAGGAAAAAAAAGATTAATGAACTGACGTCTACAGAAATGTTACGTTGGAGATATGGTTGTCAAGATCCCAAAAGTGTATCAATCAATCAAATTGTATTTGTACAGCCCCTATTGACAAATTACAATTTGTCTCATAGAACTTAAGGTGTGAAATACTTAACCCTCAACACAAGTAAAACTTCTTTATGTCAGTTCAATACGACTCATTGTATCCTTATCCAAAGAAGAACAATAGTGAATAGACTCTTACATTGGCCTCTGTCTGATGGTATTAAATAAAGCTGACATTTCCCATGGAAGAATGAATCATTTCACACAAGTTTTTTTGGGCCTTTTCCTGCCTCAGTGTTAATTATATGATATTAAGCATGGTTTATTGCATATAATCTCTCTGATGCAGTAAAGAGCAGTCTGCCAGGGAAACGAATTAAACGCTGTCACGTGATCCACCATCAGGCTTTTATTCAGTCCTTTAATTCCATTTTATATCACTGACTCTTATGCTCTCTTGGGCTTTTGGGTCACTGTTCTGAAGTCAAACAATTTGCTTTTGAATTACTTTCAATGGTTTTACACATTATAGATTTTTATAATCTGCAGCTTTCAAGAAATGTTCATTACATCAGAACAAATGCAAAATACCTCTCACGAACCTGATTTTATTTATTATAAAGGAGGAAAACTAATTAGCAAAGAGGGAAATAATTAAAGTGCTTCCAAAATTTTATCACATTAATCCAATTTGTGTCACACTATTCATAATTGTATCATAAAAACTGATTATGTGAAGCAAAAATCTGAGATTAGAGATTTTGGAAATGAATGCAGACCATTTAAATGTGTCCCAATATTTGCCTTACGCTCTTTTATCCATGTTAAACTGGTCACATACAATACAAAGTTTTATTGTCTCGCAGTGGGATAATGAGACCCGGCCTGAACGCAATTCTTGGACCTACTGGAAGTGGAAAATCCTCGTGAGTACTGCACCAATCTTAAAGAAAGAGAAACATTAAAAGTGAACAAAAAATGTATTTTTTAGATTTATTAAAGATTGTTTCATTTGTTTTTCAAAGATTCTTGGATATTCTGGCTGCAAGGAAGGATCCTTCAGGTCTCTCAGGAGAAGTTCTCATCGATGGAGCTCCGCAACCTCCAAACTTCAAGTGCCTCTCTGGCTACGTGGTTCAGGTGCATCTGAGTTACATGCAATCATTTAAACTTGTTTTAACTGATTTCTAACTGTCAGTGGTGATAGTGGTTGTGGTTGGTTATCTTGCAGTGAGTGGGATGAATATTTACACATGCAGCAACATTAGCTTTCATGGAGTCTTGATTGTGTCCACCTTATGATTGTAAGTTTTATTTTCACTCTCTGGTTTGGGCTCCACCAACTCCTGAGCAAAATATCTGTCTCTCCAGCAGCTGAGCGCTCCAATACTTCCACCACATAGACTCTAACTCGTCGTTTGGTGTTGTCCAGGTTGTGAGGATACTAAAAACTACTTGTAAAGTTGAGGAAAACTACAGACTTTTGGATAATTATTAAGAGTTTATCAACATAAATGATCCAATGTTACACAAAGTTATTTGATTTGTGAATAGTCATTGTAACAGCTTTAAATATGAAGGTGTGCTTTGGTCATTAGTTCTCTGCTTCACAGAGTTTTAATCAAACAGTCGGATTCCCCTGGTCCGCACCAGTTCTGAGTCAGCTGCTAAGCACCAGCCTAGGCGCACCGCCGGAAATGGAGATTAATTCAGAAAAACACAGCAGGACAATAGAAATCTACGCCTCCCACCTTTGACCCGGAACTCTTGTCTCCCTCTTAGGAAGATGTTGTCATGGGGACCCTGACTGTGAGGGAGAATCTGCGTTTCTCCGCAGCTCTGCGGCTGCCCAGCTCTGTGCCGCAGAGTGAGAAGGAGGCTCAAGTCAATCACCTCATCAAAGAACTGGGTCTCACCAAAGTGGCCGACTCCAAGGTTAATGTACACACTTGTCCATCATAATACGTCTCACCTCTTACCTGGCAGACTGAGTCAACCTTCGAAACACCAGCAGAGACAGAATGATCCGTGTTTGATCCCTGTTGTGTTGTTCTCGTGGTGTATGGGCGTTGTCTCCAGGTGGGCACACAGATGACCAGGGGAATCTCTGGAGGAGAGAGGAAGAGGACGAGCATTGGTATGGAGCTCATTATCGATCCCTCAGTTCTCTTCCTGGATGAACCAACCACTGGACTGGATGCTAGCACTGCCAACTCTGTGTTACTGTTGCTGAAAAGGTAAAAACTGATGAGAGGTCAGTCAATTCTTTGTTTTTTCTGTGATTTCAACACAGATTGTTTTCAGAGATGAATCCTCAGCTACGCCTTCAAGTCACATAATAACCAAACCACGATTAATACACTTTTTAAATGAGTAATTAAGTGTACATCTACAATAACACTATGACACCATCAGCTAATCTCAGTCCCAGACTGCAATTTTCAAATGTATGTTTAAAGCTAAAGTAGGGTGTTGAGCCTTTTCAACAGATGTTAATTGGGATCTTCATCAATCTGACATGCATCATATGGATGAAAATGAAGCAAAAACATTTCGAAGAAGCTTGCATTAAACATTTAATTATTTTTCTAATAAAAAAGCTAAGTTCCAAGGATCGGTCCTTGTGGGATCCCTCAGAAAATGTTAGAGAGTCAATACATTTTAATCTACTAATGGAAACACAAAATATAATGTTCTTTGAGTGTGAACTATTCATAGTTCAATAGATGAAAACAATTCTGTACAACACAAAGAATTGTGTAGCTTTGAATCTGACAATTTTCAATCCATTTGATTCTGCTCAACTTGTCTCAGAACATTAGTGTGGAATTCAAAGCTGAATTGTATTTACTAGTTGTTGTTATTTTTTTAACTATATCTGTTGTCAGAATGGCCGATCATGGAAGAACCATTATCATGTCGATCCACCAACCTCGCTACTCCATCTACAGACTGTTTGACACTCTGACTTTGCTGGTTAGTGGTAAAATGGTTTACCATGGAGCAGCTCCGAATGCTTTGGACTACTTCGCCAACATTGGTAAACACACTGTTCATTATTGATATAAGATACTCACACCCCTCATACTCTCCTCTATGTTTTTGATTTTTGATTTAATTAGGAAATGTATGTAGATGACTGTGCACTAACTATATTTTATGGGTTAATAGCAAAAAAAAAGCATGGATCTTTGTGACGTGTGTTTCAGGTTATCCCTGTGAGCCCCACAACAACCCAGCTGACTTCTTTCTGGATGTTATTAATGGAGACTTTACTTGTGCAACAATGACCAAAGTGCAAAGCTCTGAAGGTAACGTCATATATAAACCAAGCCATGAGTTAATGGTGTCTGTTGCTTTCATTATAGAGAAAATGTATAAACCTTTTGGAAAGACAAATAATGTGTGTATTACCTTGCAGATGTTCTTGATTATATGAGTAATCAGATCAATTAGCTTTTTTCCAGATGTTCTGAGTGGATATTATTCTTTGCAAACTATTGCTTAGAAAATCTTTGTTGAAGTCAATTAACAGTGAATATTTGATCAAACTGTAATTTAGGATGTTTTTCAGGCAAAAGGGGAAACTTTCTGTTGTCAGCATGTTAGATGTGAGGATTGGCTGTTTTATCAGTTTCATTTCTTGCTCACTCAGTATTTTGGGGTTGGTTGGATAAAATTATGTTGTGTCATTTGAGGCCTCTATGAAAACAGTAATGAGTTGTTTTTTTTCATTGACTAAAAACTGGTTGAATATTTCAAAAATAATATGCAGGTTAATTAGTAATTAATCAAATAATATATATTTTAGGGCACAATGGAGCCTCTAATAATAACTCATTTAAACTTGCAGAAGTTTAAATGAATGAAGTTTCCTTTGTATTAATCTGGAAGTCCACAACCCAATGCTCTGTCTGTTGCGTCTCTGTGTTCAGATTTGGACTTAGAGGTACTCAGCAGCTCCAGGCAGAGCATCGAGGAGCACCTGGTAGAGGAGTACAGGAACTGCAGCTACTCCAGCGACACACAAGCCGAGCTGGAACGCATCGTCCAGGACAAGGAGTGTATCCTACATCCGAAATCTCGCACCATCACCTACAACAGCTCCTTCTTCCACCAGCTAAGATGGGTGCTGAAGAGGACCTTCCAGAACCTCATGTTAAACCCACAAACATCTGTTGCCCAGGTAACCATCGCCATCACTCACTTTGAATTCACATCTCATCATAAACTTAGAACCATCTATGTTACTTTGGCTGAGTGGACATAATACATACAGATAACAAATAATAAGTGTACAGTGTCCCTTTTTGAGTGAGGCGCTTCAGTTTCTGTACTTCTTGTATTGTTGTGGGTCAGGTCACACTTTACAGCTTTTGTTGCCACACAGGACAAACTCTTTTTTTAGTTTAAAAATCTGAAATATTTGAGCAGGAAAAATAATACTAAAGCAGAAACTTTAATTCTTTGCACGTCAGCAAGGATCAAAATAGTAAACTCCTTCAACATGAAGGCAGGAAAGTATTAAAAACAACAAGATCAAAGCCACTTTCATGTCTGTACAATAAATATGTAGCCGAAGCAAGACCCTGGTCACGTGCCATAGCATAATAAATGTGAACAGTGGGCAACAGCAGCAAGGATATTACTCTTGAAGTCTGAGAGGCCTTTTCTGTTCAGGGTCTTTGGTTCGGTTTTGGTCATTCATTCATCAGTTGGGCCAATACGCAAATGTCATCTGCCTCTCTGCAGAGTAGATCTAGCAGACGGGGGTGTTTGCTTGACTCATTGCTGCAGTGGACTCCTTGGCAAGAGCAATCACCAATCCATGTTATATTTAACAAACACAGAGGTGACGCAGGCGTTCAGGGAGTCCAGGGGTTTCCATGGGGAGGCAAAGCAACAAACAAGATCATAAAAATGTTCTTAATACAAAAAGCACAACTGAGCCAGAGAGCACGATACCACAATGTAGACGCAACAATCCTGTGAAGAGTGACTGCAGGAACCGGAGGATAAATTCTGGCATTGATGAGGCAGATGAGAAGTAAGTGTGTCCAATTGCTCGCTGGAGAGAGAGAGAGAGGGCTGTCACGCCCACACAGAGAGACAGAGTGAGGGGGGAAGACACCGAGAACCATCTAAATACATAAAGGAAGAAAAATCTCCCAGCAGATTATATATAATTCTTTATTTAATAAATCTATTCAATTCACCTGCCAATTTACAAAATCTTTGTTTGGGGTCAACATGTTTTTTATTTTGAGCATCAACACACAAACCCATTTAACTGGTTAATATATCTTAGTAATGATAATGGATGATAAGCTTACCAAAATTGTACTCACTGAAGTACCCTTAATTACTGCATTGTATAGTAACAGAGTATAATTTGCATACATGCAATACTTTGTCTAAAGTAATCAATAATGATGGAATCATTTCGAATGTAATTATGTATCAATAATAATACTGCATGCTTTCAAGCTACTTGTTTATGTATTGGTCTTTTCATTTTGGGTAATTCAGAGAGTTTTAACATTTTTGTCTCAAGTGAGTCCAATCTCAAGACAGGTGCACACCAGTTCAGTCCAAGTCTTCACTTCACGACTGGAGTGTGACTCAAGTCCATGTTTCATGTCTACAGCTCTGACTGATGATTTCATAATTTACTTGTTGTTTTTTGTCTTTTAGGTCAAATATTTAAACATGATATTGAACCACTTTCAGCTTAACTTGTTCAAACTCTCCATAAAGAGCAGAGCGTCAATGGTGTTATCATCATGAACAGGATGCACAGACAGCACTTTGTGAGGGTCAGCACTTAACGCTCTCATTAGTTACCCCATGGCGGCAAAATGCCATCAGAAGTCTCGTCACTTTAAGAATTATTAACAGCTAATTGGCCCTAAATAAGTCAAAATAATCCCACAAGAGGGGCTCTATGTGGTGTGGGCGCCATAATCGGCTTTGGCGACTGTTGTGACCCAACTCTTGCCTCTTTGGGCAAGGATCTGAACTGATATCATATATGGCCAAAGCCCCTTGGCCCTGCTCCGGTACTCATCACATGATGGCGTCATGACCTGTCCCTCCGCTGCCCCGCTTTCACATGAGGGGATGAGGGGAATGAGGTGAAAAAGGCTCAACCTTATTAGCTTATCCCCTCACCCTGGGAACCGCTTAGTCCTGTCATAATCTGTAAATTGTTAGGATTAAAACTTGTGTCGTGATCACTTTTCTCACTCTCTTCTGTCATCTTCCCCCCATCAGCAGATCTGCTTGTTGTCGGAGAGGTCAGTTAGGAGGAGGAGCGCGGTGTCCACTTGACACCTGATCCTCAAAAACACTGGCCTCCCTGTCAGTGAGGATTTTCCACAAGATTTATTTTCATTCTTCAAAAAGAATTCATAACAGCTCGTATTTAGCAAAACTGTATCACTGAATCTGAGGGTCTGGATTATTACTATGACCACACTCACCAACATTTGCCGTTTTCCTCTAAATAACACCAGAGTTAAACATTTCACAAACATGGAACCTGATTACCTTCATGATCTAACTTTGCATTAACATCCCCCACAAAAGGAACCATTTCCCAAGGTGTGAAGTCGTTGTTCCGACTTCAAGGTGTTCATGTGCTTTAAAGTCGGAATGTGGGAAAAACATGGACGCTGTGAACAAAATGTGTTGTATTTATGTGTTTAGAGAAGTTAACCAGCACATTGACACATATTTAAAATATTTGCACAATAATGAAGAGCAGAGATGTTGTGATTAATAATTGAGCACAACTAAGTGAGAGTTTTGCAGTGGAGCTTTTGAGTTAAAGATGCAGCAAGTTCATTTTAAGAACACATTTATTGACAGGACAGTGTGTTTTTTTCAGTGTTGCTTCCTGTGGTCTAAAAGTGTCATGTCTGTCTGTGCAGCTGGGAGTCAACATTTTCCTCGCCCTCACGGTCGGAGCCCTTTTCTTCGGAATCAAAGACGATCAGAGCGGGATCCAGAACAGGTGAGAGAACTCATGAAAGAAACACTGAACGGCTCTGAGCTTTATTCAGCCGATAACTAGAGACTCATCCTAATGTTTTATACGTTATATGTTTTTAAACCTCGGCAAAGGAGGTTTGTGTTCATCTGCATTTGTCTGTTTGTTAGTTAGCAGGATTAGGCAAAAACAATTGAAATGATTCCCATTAAATTTGTGGAGTGGTGGATCATGACCCAGGGACAAACCCATTCAATTTTAGAGCAGATCCAAATAATGAGCGTGTACAGAATTCTTTTTTCACTTTCTATAACATGGCACGACGGGGTGTCAGGTATGCTCTCTCTGAGCACACTTCTAGTTTACAATAAAACCTACTGTTGTGACATTTCTGCAGTTAAACCCACACAGCAGACATCAAGAAGAATTGTATTATATATTTATTATAATACTGATATAAAGTAAAATGCTATAGAAAAAAAATGAAATACACCAAAACACTGAAACTTGATTTACTTGTATTGTTTCTGTTGTGTTTCAGATGTTTTGTGTTAAAGGACACTACAGTCTGAAAGATGAATTTTACTTCTTTGCTGTTGTCGGCATCTTTAAGCAGCCACATGTGCCTGTTGTAACCTCGGAATAAAAAATGTTTTATTTGTACTGATTGAGGTTCATCAAATTAATTTATTTTGTGGCAATATTAATTTACACTTTTAAAATATCTACAAAGTCTTAATGCCTACAAAGCACAATGCAAAGGCTTTTCATGATATTACAGTCTGTACATTATGTGCACACCCACTATAGTAATTAGGTTGCTTTCATTTCTGTCATAGAATATTATGCATATGTGTATTCATGCATCAGGTTTTAGAGTCAGTGGCTGCTTTTATAGAGAAGTGTGAAAAGTTAGAGCAGGTCCTGCACAGCTAATCCTCTTACCATATTTTATTGGGCACAACCTGGTACTCACAAGCCCTGCAGCGGAGTTCCTCACAAATCTCAATGATCTCTCTCTTTTCTTTCTGTGCAAGCTTCAGTGGACTATAAGGACCTAATGTCATTAAATTCATGGTCAATGCATAGGCAGTATGGCAGACACCAGTCTTCGCGGCTTAAGTGTCTCAAGTTACCCCCCCCCTCTCCGCTTCTCGCTGGTTGCAGGGTCGGATATTAGGGCCACAATGGAGTCAGTTAACTTTGAAGTCTATGTAGTTTTACAGGGACCACACCACAGAGTCAGTACTATAATCTGTAGAGTGACTGTTTTTTTTTTTTTGCTGCTGCCTCTCCTACAGAATCACCTCTTTGTCAGACAATCAGAAGTGCTGATTGAAACCTGGTTCACCCATTCACACACACATCCATGCAGAGCATCTATGTGCAGCTCTCCCTCAGTCACACATCAGTCACACATCAGTCACACATCAGTCACACATCACTCACACACTGCCAGCATCGTCGGGCACAATGTGGAGTTCAGTGTCTTGCCCAAAGTTCATGTTTTGTTCTCATGTGTTTTCATTTGTCCTGAATTCCTGTAAAGAGACTGGTTTTACTTTTGAGATGTGTTCAAGTTCAATTTTATGTAGATGCACACTAACCACTGTGTTGTAACATATGCTACTGTGTTGTGTCTTTCTTTGGACACCCGGGCTCAGTATTGGTACCTGAACTGTATATAAAAATAACCAGACTGTTCTGTTTCTTACAGGATGGGTGCCCTCTTCTTCATCACCACTAACCAGTGTTTCAGCACCGTGTCTGCAGCTGAGCTCTTCATCATTGAGAGGAAACTGTTTGTGTACGTACCTGTCCTTCGTCATTCTTTCCACTTAAATGTCAGTAACACGCCTGTGAAGTTGGTTCAGAGCAGATACTACATGCCTGCAGTTCATAATAATAATACTACTACTAATAATAATAATAAAGTATCTAAGAAGGCATAAAGTCATGAGGGAGTCATGAAACTAACTAGGACCGTGTGCACAATTCAAGATGAATGTGAGTCTTCAGAGTTGTTTCATTGTCAGTGTTTGATTTCTCTCCTGACAGACACGAGTACATCAGTGGTTACTACAGAGTGTCTGTCTACTTCCTGTCAAAGATCCTGTCTGACATCACCCTGCGCACCATCACCTCTGTTATCTTCAGCTGTGTTGTTTATTTTCTGATCGGTAAGAATAACAGATTGATTTGTGGAATTCTTCAGGGTTTAAATGTTTGATTTCTTGATCAGAAACTCAATTTAAATGCAGATATCAATCTCTAATAGTCAGTGTGTGTTTGTGTGTGTGTGTGTGTGTGTGTGTGTGTGTGTGTGTGTGTGTGTGTGTGTGTGTGTGCGTGTGCGTGCGTGTGTGTGTGTGTGTGTTTTCAGGGCTCAAATCTACTGTCTCAGCCTTTTTCGTCTTCACGCTGACCGTCACTCTGGTGGCCTACACAGCCACAGCCATGACCATGGCCATCTCGGCCGACCAGAGCGTCGTCGCTCTCGCCAACATCTTCATGACCATCGCATTTGTCTTCATGATGGTGAGAGACGAAGCGACACACAAACAAAGAGATGCACCTGGATGCTTTTCAAGTGGAACTAAGTCTCATTCTGTAGATGTTGTAATAATCTCAAGACTGTATCATATGTATTTTCTATGTGTTTTTAGATTTTCTCAGGGCTCTTGGTGAACCTGCCCAGCATCATGGATTGGCTTGCATGGCTGAAGTACTTCAGTATTCCTCGCTACGGCCTTGCAGTAAGTCACAATTTACTGAAGGCGTGATGTGAAGAATCTCATTTACAGTTGTGGTAACTGTATATTTGTGGTTTTAGAGAAACATGTTTATTTGATGTAGCTTTGCTGTTCGTATTATGTCTTCATAAGGTCCACACATATACAGTTTAAACTGGCACACCAGTTAACACTTGATTAATATTAGAGACAAATAATATTGGATTTCATGGGATTTTTATGGCTGACACAGACATCGATGTTCAAACACTTTTTGAAAAGGATCAGGAAAGGTTCATCTTTATTTAATATAAGTATAGAATAGTAGTTGTTTACTCAAGCTCCACTTATCAGCTTTTCCCAGAGCCGATGAAGTCTGAGAAGAGAGAATGTCGCTCAATAGAGCGCCGTCCTCCGTCAATCAAGCTGCACCAAATTACATTGTTATTACATGATTTGATTGTGTTCTATATGTCCAGGCCTTGAAGATCAATGAGTTTGTTGGTTTAAAGTTCTGTGAGGAGGCTGTGAGACGAGACGCCAACATGTCGGCTGGAGCGTCAAACTGCAGCATGAGCACAGCCGCTCTGACGTGAGTAGACCTCACACACTATATTCTGTGTGTAACTGGCTTGTACCATCTTTTTTTACAATCACAAGCATGAATTCATTTGACATTCTGAACTTTTCTGAAAAACAAAACTCTTTCTTAATCAACGCTGTGTTCGTTCAGGTGCACAGGAGAGCAGTATCTGGACTACCTGGGGATAGAGTACACCACCTGGGGACTGTGGGAGAACCATGTGGCTCTGACCGTTATGTCCATCATATTCCTCATCATCGCCTACCTGAAACTACGCTACATCAAGAAATTCACTTAGATGTTTAAGTCTGAATTATTATTCATTTTTGGACAAATTTGACATTTTGGGAGAAATAGTTGTTTTTTTGCTTGGAGTTAGATGAGATTGTGCAGTCTGCACAAAAACAGAGGGAAGCAGAGGGTTTTTCAGGTTGTAATCATTTGGGCTCCTTTTTTGTATCACTTAGAAAAATTTTCCCCAAATGAAAATGTTGCCTATTCTCTTCACCCAATTTTACTAATACAACAGATGGGCAAAGGGTTGTCTTAGGACTTGTTGAACATTGGAAATGTATCTAACTGTTGATCTTTTCATCTAACTCTCAGCAAGAAAGTAAATATATCTGTTAATATGTCAAACTATTCCTTTAAATGTGCCTTTGTTTTGCACTTACTTCAATATTCAGTAAAATGTCATGTTATTTTTTCCTCTTTGGTGAAGACTGTTTCCACCATGTTCACTTTTCAGCACCTCATTTGCCTAAAACAGGTGCAAGTTGCTGTTATTTCAGTGTTATTCAATGTGGTTATTTATGAATATTTACAGTTGTATTCAGATTCTGCCTTTTTTCAGTACATGTGTAACTCAGTAGTGTTGATATATTCAGCTTCTGCACATTTACCAAATTATACAAATTATACAAGTGAATTCATCTCAAGTCTAAACAGATTATTTGTTATTGTAGATGTTGTAGAATTATATCAGATCGATTTTCAATGTTACCTTTCTTTATTGTTCCAAAGTAAACATCTATACATGTTTTATTCAATGCGGTCATTAAACAGTGTTTTGTTGTTCTTTCAGTAATTCTGTTGAGATTAATGCATGTGTGCGAAGTAAAAAACATAGATAGATTAAAAAGAATACTGAACTTGCTCAACTTTCATTTTGCAGGTCTAAAATTGCTACTTTATTTAATTTGGTAGCATCGCAATAATAACTGTTAAACTTTAGATAAGTGGAACCTGAAGTATTTCATCAAACAAGATGTAGAGAATAATGTTCACAAGAAATATTTACCTGCGTTTAAATAATTTTTATGTTAGAAAAGGCTTTTCCACAAGAACCGGAATGAATTAAAATCCAAACTGTAGAAAAAGCAAAACAAACAATCTTTTTAATTTTAATAACACTTTTTTATTTGGCATAACAGATTAAAAAAAGATATAGATAGTAAAAAAAGTAAGGCACAGGAAAAATATATATATAAATGCATGGGTTTCCCATGAACACTAGATGCACTCCAAATCGAAGTTTGTTTCAAGTTACAATATGTATCATAAAATGATAAGCTATTTAATTAGAAGCTTAACTGACGTACAGGAGATGAGTAAATATGACACAGTGTGCCACACTCGTACCTATTGTATGTTAAAATGATGGAGAAATAATCAGCAACAGGAACAAAATGCTTAAATGTGTGGATACAGTGATTAGAAGCAGGTGATACTAAAATCATACGCTGTGTATTCTGAGTATGTTTACAGCTGGTGTATTGCATCCAATGCTGTGTATAATACTTTGATTTAATACTGTTCTGTAAATCCTTCATTGTTCTTCAGCCTCTTTCACACATTTATTTGCAGTTTCCTTCAGCGTCCTGTCAAACCAATACTTGAAAACAGCAGTGGGCAGATGCAGGACATTTTAGATGTCTCCGTCTCTCAGGACGACTTCACTCACTTTCAGTGCATTGAAGTATCTGAGGTTAGGTCGCCGCCTTTGTAATCTGTCAAGAAATTTAAAAAGCCTCAATAATTATTTTGTCCTGCAAGAACCGTCTCACATCAAATTTCCACTCGAAAGTTTCTTGCCAAAGTTGAATAATCTTGGATAATCTTCAGCAGGCTCGAGGCTTCACACGTGGCCACTCCCGTTTGTGCTTGTGTCAAGGCCGTCGGTGGACAGAGAAGAGGACGGACGAGGGCGGGGGCCGACACCAGTGGCGAGCTGTGGGTGGCTGACCTGGGAGGCCATATCGTCAGACTCCCAGCGCTCCAGTTCCTCCCTCACCAGCCTCTCCATCTGCTCCCTGTGGGCGTCTGTGTCTCGTCCCAGACGCTCATCCTGACAAACAGAAGCAGGTTTGTTTACAGCCACGCGTGTGTGTGTGTGTGTGTGTGCGTGTGCGTGTGTGTGTGTGTGTGTGTGTGTGTGTGTGTGTGCGTGTGTGTGTGTGTGTGTGTGCCCTAAATTTGAGGGATGGCTGATTGTCATTTTCTTTCATTTCATCACACTGACAGAGAAACTTCATTTCCTCAATTACAGAATCACACTGAATGTATTTCCGCCGTCTCTCACCTCCATGACTCCGTCCAGCAGCCGGCCCAGCACATCTCTCCTTTTCAGTTTAGCTCTCTCCATGGTTTCCAGCTTCACGATCACAGCGTCTATCTTGGACACGATGCTGCCGATAGAGTGCTCCATCCGGTCCACACGTCTCACCAGCCTGAGAGACAGGAACAGAGAGCCACACATGTCAAACTACTACAGCTGTGATCCTAAATGTTATTATTTAATAAATACTTGTTTGTTAATGTATTCGTTATCAAGTACAAACCCTCCTGTGGTGGAAGCTCGTAAAACACAGTTGTAGTAATATTAAATGTCATAGCTGTTGATAAATACTGTACATTAATACAAAAAGAAAATGTTTTTATAGCAACATACATTTATAGTGTACTAAGAATAAATGTTTATATTTGGGGGGAATAAAGATTAAGTGTTATTAATGCATTATAATCAGTAAGTCTACTGACTAGAGAGAAACTAAATAATTATAAAAACTCTTACACTTGAAACTCCTCATAGGAGACACCACCCGAGCTGCTGCCACGGCGACGGGAGCTGTGGCCGCTGTCCTCGTCGTCGTCTTCCTCCGAGTCTTCCTGGGTGCGAGGGAAGCTCCGCCCGCTGCTGGGTCTAGTCAGCGAATTACGTTCCAGATCCAAGTCCTCCTAGCATATGAGCAGAAACACACTGAGCATCTGCAGGTGCTGTGTACGCTGTCACTGTGTGATTACTATTCAGTCACCAAAACCAAACAGGGACGAACTGCTGACGCCATCACTCACTCTCTCTTTCTCCAGGTCGTCTCTCATTTGCTGGTGCTCGTGCTCTGTCAGCTCCTGGTCGCCATCATGATCGTACTTGGCAAATATGGCCTGAATCTCTGCATCTGTGTGGCCCTTTCTGAGCAAAGAAGGAAACAACCAACACTCAGCATCAAACAATAAATTAAACCCAAGCTTTACGTTCATATCACTATAATTAAAATGTTTTGGTATGATTTGAGTTTCTGCTCACCCTTTAAGATCCTGACGGAGCTCATCAAAGTTCAGTTTGCCCCCTGCCTGACGGAGGCTGTCAGAGATGTCATCTACCGCCGTCTTCTTCAGTCTTAACTTCATCAAAGCTTTGTTACAGCCCTAAGGGATGGAGGTCAGAGAAACACTTATTACATCACCATCACATCTGTATTCACTTTAACATGTCTGCATCATGGTGGAGAACTTTTACAATCTTACTTTAGGGGATGTCTTTAAACTAAGCAACAACAACAACACTGTGAAATGGATCTAGTAAAATGAATCGAAGTCGGTGTGAGACAGTCCTATTTCTTTTTCCTTTTTGGTTTGTGTGCCATTGTTTTTTTTCCAAAACCTTTTTGACAAAATGGCACATATGACATGTCACAAGGTGAATTCAGCATCATTTCATGTGGTTTTCTGATGGTGGTGTAGAAGTGGGTCATGGCTGCCGTCACATTGTGATAAGAATATGTCTCTGGTTGTCAAAGCTCTAACTTCCTGCCACTGGTCCTGCCTGAGTGCACTGGGACAGTTTTAGATTGACGACCACAGAATTGAGTAGGTTTCTCTTATGACTGTCAACTTATTTAACAGCCACAAAGGAGCCTGTCAAAAGATTATAATGCTATCATGAAATACATCAAGCTTCAGATTAAACATGTGTAACTCCAGCTGCAAATATCCAGAAGAAAACCCGGATATTTTCGAATATGTGGATACAACTACATATTCGAAACAGTGATGAGACTAGAAATAGACATTTAAGGTGTAATGATCCTTCACATTATTGTCATGACCGCTAATGCTAATTTAATGTAAATCTGCCTGGCCACAATAAATGATGCCTGTAGTTCTATACCTTCTTGATGAGGTCCGTCATCTCCATCTCAGACCTCTGCTGCGACATGTCAGCCTTCACCTCAGAGTAGGAGTCATTGATGATGGCCAGGAACATGTTCTGCACAGAAAGAGAAAAGAGAAAATCATTCCTCGTGTTTTTCACATCACAGGCAAACTGTAATAATTCAACACTGCTCATCCTGCTCACCATAAGAATGAAGAAGATAAAGAAGACAAAGGTGGTGAAGTAGATTGGTCCGAGCACTGGGTTCGCCTCCTCGATCTCAGAGAACTCAAAGTCTCCCAGGATGATACGGAACTGGGTAAAACTACACAAACATGACAACATTAGGAAACATCGGCCGTCAGAAGTATTTGTATATTTCTCGACCATACTTCGAATATTCTTACATGCTGGCTTGGAATGTGCTGAAATCGTTGACTTGGGTTCCAAACACCAAGTAAGCCAGCTGAGCATACGCCAGGAAGATGATGAAGAACATGATGGCGAAACCCACGAGGTCCTTAGCACAGCGTGACATGGTGCTGGACAGCTGACTCATGGTCTTGTTGAAGTTGATGAACTTAAAAAGCTGAAAGGACGTGAAAACTTACTGTTAGCATCAGTTCATCGTGTTTCCATTGTAGTAATTTGGAGTGATTATAAACTGAAGTAGGTGAAGTTTTATACCTTGACCCAGGAAAAAAAGACGATGACTGCAGCCACGTTGTTGAACTGGACCTGCAGGTTGGCTAAGGGCTGAAAATTGGCGTGAGAACTGTCGTTCTCCAACAGGCCTTTGAGGCAACTGCCAACCATGGCTGTTCTGGTTATGTTCATGATGATGGCAACAACACTCAACTGGAAAAAGAGCAGACACAGCAAACAACAGTCAGACTATTACAATTATGGCTGTATCACTTTGATAATATCCCATACGAGCTTGATACACACCACCAAAATGAAAACATCCAGACAGTTCCACAGGCTCTTGAAGTAATGCAGCCGGTGGATGCGGATCTCCAACACCTCCTCCACCACGTAGTACAGGATGAATATGCAGAATGCCACCTCACACACAGCCACAAAATAGTCCCAGCTGGACACGTAACGCATCAGACGCACTGTTTGGAACTGCCAGGAGGTCACGACCCCACCGGTGGCCGGGAACTCCGCCAGCAATCTGACGAATCCACCAGAATGTAGGAACTATCAGTGCTCATACAATCACAGCTACAAACTGTTTTAATGCAGAAACAAATCAAGATAAACTGCAAAGACAGAATGTAAATCAAGAATCTGGTAAAAATTAGTATGTTTGCTTTTCCTTTTTTGTGATTTTGTTGCAGTGAAACTTAAAGTGTTTCAGTAAAGCGCTATCAAATGTTTGTGACTGACGACTCACCTAGCGATACAGAAGAGGTTGATGTTTCTATTGTAGACGGAGAAGTCGAGGAAGACGGCTCTCGTGCCCCTGTCCAACCACAGGTGGTCTTTGAGAAACTGCAGCTGGATAACTGACTCCGCTTTCGTACGAGACAGATCTTGGTAGTATCCTCCGCCTCCGTATTTAGAAACCTGACCCCAATAACTGCTGCCATTCATCTCACTCTCTGT